GGGTTTCTTTTTGTGCTGGATTTTCCCAGGTCACCCGATGGAAGTGGAATTTTGCCACAGTGTCCTATGTCCTGATTCTCCTGAACTGGCTCTGGTTGTGGGTTCCGATTACGTGACATAGTTGCATCGTAACTGTCGAACTCTGTGGCACATTGCTAGGGTGCATTGAAGTAGTAGAAGCGATTTCCCACATTTCTTTCTCCTGATGGGGTTTATTTTTATTTTTATTGTTCTTTTGCAGTAGGGGAAGAACTACACCTTTGCCTCAGGTATCTTTAACAACCAAACTCATTGTCACTCACTACGGTGCAATAAAAGGGGATGTGAGAACATTCTCTGTCCATAAAGTTAGGTTTATATTTTATAGAAAGGAAATTCAGACTCCTTCTGCTGAAGAAACACTCCTGCTCAAAATTACAGTCTGCCCTCCACATTTGCGGCTTTGATTATTTGCGGATTTCAGTAATACCTTCTGGGAATCTCTAGGTCCTCCAGTGCCACTGTGCTGGAAGTTGACCATAGATAGAGTTGTGCGGGAGGACCTAGAGATTACTAGAGAAAACACTTCTCTAGGCATTTGTCAGTCCTCCAGTGTGATTCTATGGTCATGTTATGGCAGTTGTTGACCACAGAGTTGTTCTGGAGGACCTAAAGGGGTGGTCCCTCAGGTAAATCTATTGGTTTTTTATTTGAGTCTTTCCACTTCCATGGGGGTCCTGTGCCCCTAACCCCAGCGAATGTGGAGGGCCCACTGTATTAAGTTTGAATTATCAGTGAATTGCAGCAATGAACCTTCACATTGGGACCATGGTGCTGCTTCGCAAACGTTTTCGTAGTTGCCTCTGCTGAATTACTGGTTTAGAGATACTAATGCTTTGTTTGGAAAGCTTTCAGATACTCGGAATAATTGTAACAATTAACAGTTTACATTACTCGAGATGTGCGACAACTTTCTTTCCTAGATCTTTGTTCCCCCCGCGACCAGATCCCCATCTGCAATTTTTAGCAGGCTCCCTGCTGATCAGGGTTTGACACTGGTGTAGGGAGTGTTATTTTCTTCCTGTAAAGAGACCTACCTCAGGTTGCTGAGTCCTGTGTGGTACATTTTAACATGGCGACTGTTTTGCCATCCCTGTTGTGGGGGGCCAGTAGCCCCGGTCGGTGGGCACGGTCAATCCTGTCCTTGCTGTTACTTTTAAATCGGTCAGCGTTGCATGTGGGTTTTCACAATTTCCTTTGTCCATCCGGACTTTCATAGCCTTAGCATGTTTGCCAATTGTCTCGTCAGGACAAACATCTGGAAAAAAGTGAATAAAACACTATTTTGGCTTTTGTAAGCTCTTGTGTGCGCTTGTCTTTGGGCCTGGTTGGCCTGTTTCTGGGGAAGGGTTTGGATGAGGGCGCAGGCTTCAATGAAATAAAGAAAGATGTATAACTGGTATAACTGTTAGGAATACAGTTGGCCCTCCGTTTTCGCAGGGGATCCATTCCGCCCTCCCTGCAAAAATAGAGACTCGCCAATGTTCAAGCCCCATAGGTTTGAATGGGGCATGCCCTTGCAGGTGCGCACCATTGATTTTAATGGAGGTCGCCCCTTCGTGAATATTCAAAACCACGGACCTCAAGTCTGTGAGAACGGAGGGGCGACTATAGAATTACAGGAGGAGGAGGAATATTTAATCAAACAGTGAATTATAGCAGCACATGCTGTGATTGCATACGGGGGGAATATTATTATTCTTATTATTTTAGGGACTCAAAGCAGATTAAAAAACAATACAGTTTTTAAAAACAGTACAACAACATTAAAATGTATAAACATAAAATTCAAAAAGCAATTAAACAATTTTAAAAGTTAAAACAGTGACGAATTAAAATGTAACATGTTAACAATGCAAACCTTAAAATTGAAAACACACAAGAGTGAAATCCCAGCCCTTAGCAGCTCAAAAAGTCCTGACAGCACAAGGATGATAAAACTCAGAAATGTTCCTCTCCACGGAAGTCTTTAGTAAAAGGCAAAAGATTTATACATTCTGAAGAGAAAACAGAGTATAAATGATAAAGGAAGGTGTAACTGTAATAGATGGAAGTAATATATATCAGCGTACATGATGTTTGATTTTATAATGGAAAAAAGGAGGGTTTATTTTGGTCAGTTGAAAGAAGAAGTTTGGTTTAGTAATTGGAAAATAATGGCTGGGTTTGTTGAGGAGAGAAAAAGGTCTGAAAATGTAAAAGAAACAGTTAAAATAAAAGAGAGGAAAAAGAAATAAAAAGAAACACCATTCCTGGGGTGGGACAAATAAAAATAAAACAAAATAAAGGAAATGTCTGTGTGTATGTGTGTGTATATATATATATATATATATATGGGATTAATTAATGGCTGAGAGCGCCTTTGCGATAGGATGTGATCAGTTTGTTGGTATGTAAGGCAATATACCTTTTACAGTCAAGACACAATGTGAAGCTCTCTTCAGCCAGACACATTCCCTCCATATACAGCTAGACACATTGCGGTGTAAGGGTCTGCATGTTGGGACTAGAACCCAGAGCTTGGAACAGTTAAGTCTTGGGACCAAACCACACTGCAGAAATAATCCAGTTTGAGACCATTTTAATTGCCCTGGCTCAGTGCTGGGGAATCCTGGGAATTGTAGTTTGTTGTGGTCCCAAAGCTCTCTTGACAGAGAAGGCTCAATGTCTCACAAAACTACAGTTCTCAGGATTCACTAGGGCTGAGCCAGGGCAGTTAAAGTGGTCTCAAACTGGATTATTTCTGCAGTGTGTTTGGGACCTTGGACTTTACTAGCCAGAGTCAACCATCCTGCTGGGAAAAAAATGGTCCTGGAAGAGTCAGATTCGAATCCTCGCTCAGCCATATGAAACTTCCTGGGCCAGTTTGGGCTTTGTGTAATACCGTAGATTTATGTAACAGCACCATTCATTCATTCATGAAGTAAGCAGAAGTAGAGGAGAGTATAAGTTTGCATGAAGGAGGACTGAATGTGTGGATCTGTATGTAACTGGCTAAAAGAAGGAGAAAGGGAGGAACACCAGTAAACCTTCATTAATATTCAGTGGTACTGTAGCAAAATATTCCTAAATTTCCCTCAACCATGTCTCCTGCTCTTTTATTTGTGTGCCTTCAAGTCACTTCTGACTTTTGTTGTTGTTGTTAACAGCCCTCAAGTCAATCTCGACTCATGGCAGTGACCCTCTGGAGGAGGGTCTGTCTGTCCTCCATGGCTCTGCTTAAGTCCTACAAACCCTTAATAAACCTCCATAGGAACCTCTTTCATAATAGAGTCCCTCCATCTGGTAACATCTGGCCTTCCTCTCTTTCTCCTTCCCTCCACCTTTCCCAGCATTATTGCCTTTTCCAAAGAGTCCTCTCTTCTTCTCGTGATGTGTCCGAAGTACGACAGCCTCAGTTTGGCCATCTTGGCTTCTTCTTCCAGGGAGATGTCTAGATTGATCTGCTCTAGGACTCATTTGTTGATCCTTTTGGCTCTCCATGGGATCCTCCTCAGCATCTTCTCCAGAAACACATTATTATCTCAAATGCATTGGTTTCTTCCTATCTTCTTTCTTGACTATCCAGCTCTCACATCCATACATGGGAATAATAGGGAATAGGATGGCTTCTTGTATGGTTCTAAGTTTTGTGTTCAGTTGTATATAATAATAATAATAATAATAATTTTTATTTAATACCCCGCCCCTCTGAACACAATCGGGGCGGCTTACATCATAAAATTCCAACAACAGTTAAGAGCAATTACATCCCCCTCCCCCCCTTAAAAAGTTATTAAACCTAGTACAAGTTAAAAAAAAATATCTTGGCATTTTAGGATCTTTTCTAGTTCTTTCATAGCCATCCTCCCCATTCTTAATTTTCTCCTGATTTTCTGACTGCAGTCCCCATTTCTATCCATGTTTGATCCCAGGGATGGGAATTCTTTCACTATTTCTGTTTCTTCATTGTCTAGGTTGAACTTGTGAAGTCATTATTTTTGTTTTCTTTACGTTCAGCATTAATCCTGCCTTTACACTTTCTTCTTTGATCTTCCTTAGAAGTTGTTCCAGATCTGTGAGGTATTCTGCTAGTATTATGGGGTCATCTGCATATCTTACATTTTTGATATTCTTTCCTCCTATTTTCACTTCTCCTCCTTCTGTGTCCAAGCCTGCTTCTCTTATAATATGTTCTGCATACAAGTTGAACGGATATAGTTACCCCTATCACACGATTTTCTTGGCAAGATTTTTTTTGGGGGGGAGGGGAATGGCCCTTGCTCCCCTCTGAGGCTGAGAGAATGTGACTTCTCACAATAGAGGGCATGCTTATGAAATTTGCAGATGGCACCGAATTAGGAGTAGCTCACACCCCAGAGGAGAGGATCAAAACTGAAAATGACCTGAATAGATTAGAAAGCTGGGCCAAAGCTAACAAAATGAATTTCAACACAGAGAAATGTGTAAGGTAACTGCACTTAAAGAAAAATAAATATTTTTTTAAAAAAATTGAAATGCATAGATATAAGATGGACATATGAGAGGAAGGGATCTAGGAGTCCTAATAGACCCCAAGCTGAACAGGAGCCAACAGTGTGATGCGGCAGCTGAAAAGGCCAATACGAATCTAGGCTGCATCCATAGAAGTATAGTGTCTAGAATAGATCAAGGGAAGTAATATATGTGATAGGCTCATCTTAGGGTTTCCATAAGTCAGAAAGGACTTAAGGGTGCACAACGAATACAACCACAATGTCTCCTTATGTAAGTGAGAAGGAATAATCCCCTCATCTAGGCACACTCAAGTCATTTCCAACCTATGGAGACCCTAAGGCAAATCTATCATGGGTTTTCATTTGTTCAGGGAAGCTTTGCCCTTGCCTTCCCCTGAGGCTGAGAGAGTGTGACTTGCCCAGGATCACCCAGTGGGTTTTATGGCTGAGCTGGGAATCGAACCCTGGTCTCCAGAGTCATGAAAAGCCAGTGTGGCATAGTGGTTTGAGCGTTGGACTACAAGTCCGGAGACCAGGGTTTGAATCCCAGCTCAGCCATAGGAACCCACTGGGTGGCTTTGGGTGAGTCACATACTCTCAGCCTCAAGGGGAAGTCTTGGCAAACCACCTGTCTCAGCCTCAGAGGAAGGCTAAGGGAAACACTCTCTGAACAAATCTTTCCAGATTCCCAGCTGGGCCCTGGAAACCCACTGGGTGAGTCACACTCTCTCAGCCTCTGAAGGAACTTGCCAAGAAAAGCCCTAGGACAGTTTCCCCTTAAGAAGCGCCACCCTTAAACCGGAAACGACGTCAAGACGCACGTGGCGCTTCCCGGAGGCCTGGTCTGGCGAAAGGCCTGCGTCAGGAGGCGGTGCTCCGGAGCTCCCCCTGGCGGCCGCTCTTCGCCGCCTCCTCGCCCCGCGCCGCCGCCGCCTTCCCTCTGGCGCCCCCCAGAGGCCGCGCCGACAGCAGCAGCGCCGCCCAGAGCGGAGAGCAGGAAGGAGAGCGAGGCCTGGCCTTTTCCTGGCTCGCCCGCCTCCTCCTCCTCCTCCTCCTCTTTCTCCTTCTCCTGCGATGGATTTCACCTAGCCTTCTCCCCCTCCATGGCGTCCTCGTCGTCCTCCTCCTCCGCTTCTTCCTCGGAGGCCCCTCCGGACGTGGCCTCGGCCTCCACTTGGCCGCTCTTCCGCCTCCGCCACCTCCGCCTCGGGCTGGACTTGCGGCCGGAGGCGAGGGCCTTGGCCGGCTGCTTGGTCCTCGACCTCTGCGACGCCGGAGACGACCCCCAGGACCAGCGGCGCTCCTTAGTGCTGGACACGCACCCGGCCCTCAGGGTGGCCTCGGTCGACTTCCGAGCCTCCCCGGCCGGGAGAAGGCCCAAGAGGCGCTGCGGCTTCGTCTTCTCCTCCTCCTCCTCCGACAAGGCCGCAGTCGAAGCCTCGGACTTTCC